CTTATTAGCTTATTAGCCAGAGTCTTCAGAGAAACAAAACCAGAAACAGGATCTCAATCAATATGATACGATATAAGAATTATATAAGAATTGCGCCTCAAGATTATGGAGGCTAAGCAGTCCCATGATCTTGTTGTCTGTGAGCTGGAGTGACCCAGGAAAGCCGCTGGTGTAATTCAGAGGAGATGGATGTCCTGGCTAAGGAAAGAGCAAGTTCACCCCTTTACTAGTCTGTTTTTCTATTCAGACCATCAATGAACTGGGATACTGCCCACCCACACTGGGGAGGGTGAACTTCTTTATTCAGTCTACTCATTCAAATGCTAACCTCTTCTAGAACCACACTCACAGACATCCAGAAATACTGTGTTACCAGCTACCTGGGTATCACTTAAATCAGTCAAGTTGACACAGAAAAGTAATCATCACATCACTCTAGACCCATGAAACCACTAAAGGCTCCACTGGTTTCTCTATATTCCAAGAAACGTCTTCCTAGGCCAAGCCCCAGTCCTATCCCACAACCCAAATCAGTGACTGTCTTCCATGGGGCAGTGGGGGCAGAGTTCTAAGATGTTCTTTCTCTCCATTCTGTAATTTTAATCTACCCATCTCTGCTTCAATAGTTCTCTGGTGCCTTCAAAATGTAGTTTATCTTGGTCATTTATCCAGTTGTGTCTAAATGTTAGCAGCAGCAGCAGCACTCTGCCATGACCTATCACATCCTTCATGAAAGTGGAAGTTAAATCATTGTATTAGAAACCTATACCTTGGGTCTATCCAACAAGAAGATGTAATTATTGTAAATATTTATGCCCCCAACTTGAAACCACCCAAATATATATGAATTCATCACCAACATAAAGAAACTCATTGATAATAATACAATAATAGTAGGGGACTTTAAGACCCCACTTATGGCAATGGACAGATCTCTGAGTGGAAGATGAATAAGGAAACAACGGCTTTGAATGACACACTGGATCCGATGGATTTAACAAATATATTTACAACATTTCATCCTAAAGCAGCAGAATAGGCATTCTTCTCAAGTCCCTATGGAACATTCTCCAGCCCTCAATAAGAACAAAGAGATCAATATTATACCATGCGTATTTTCAGGTCAAAACGCTATGAAACCTGAAATCCACCACAAGAAAAAAATGGAAAAGTCAACAAATACTTGGAGATTAAAGAACATCCTGCTAAAGAATGAATGGGTTAACCATGAAGTTAAAGAGGAAATTAAAAGTACATGGAAGCCAATGAAAATGGAAACATGACCCTCTAAAACCTCTGGGATACAGCAAAGGCAGTCCTAAGAGGGAAGTATATAGCAATCCTAAAAAAGGAAGAAATGTCTCAAATACACAACCTAACCTTACACCGAAAAGGAGCTGGAAAAAGAACAGCAAATAAAGCCTAAAACCAGCAGAAGAAGGGAAATAATAAGGATTAGAGCAGAAATCAATGATATTGAAATAAAAAAACAGTAGAACAGATCAACAAAACTAGGAGCTGGTTCTTAGAAAGAATCAACAAAATTGATATCCCTCTAGCCAGATTTAGCAAAAGAAAAAGGAAAGGACCCAAATAAATAAAGTCACAAATAAAAGGGGAGAGATCACAACCAACAACTCAGAAATACAAACAATAAGAAGAGTATGATATGAACAATTATATGCCAACAAAATGGGCAATCTGGTAGAAATGGATAAATTCCTAGAAACATTATAAACTACTAAAACTGAAACAGAAAGAAATAGAAAATTTTAAAATACCCATAACCAGTAAAGAAATTGAATCAATAATTAAAAATCTCCCAATAAACAAGAGTCCAAGGCCAGATGGCTTTCCCAGGGAATTCTACCGAACATTTAAAGAGTTAAGACCTATTCTTTTGAAGCTGTTCTAGGAGTGCCTGGGTGGCTTGGTCTGCTGGGTGTCTGACTTCAGCTTAGGTCATGATCTTGAAGTTCGTGGGTTCAAGCTCTGCATTGGGATCTGTGTAGACAGCTCAGAACTTGCAGCCTACTTCAGATTCTGTCTCCCTCTTCCTCTGCCCCTCCCCCACTCACACTCTGTCTCTCTGTCTCAAAAATAAATACACATTAAAAAAATAAATGAAGCTATTCCAAATAAGCAGAAATAGAAGCAAAACTTCCAAACTCATTCTATGAGGCCAGCATTACCTTGATTCCAAAACCAGACAAAGGTCCCACTAAAAAAGACAGATTACAGACCAATTTCCCTGATGAAAATGGATGCAAAAATATTCAACAAGACATTGGTGAATCAAATCCAATAACATATCAAACAAATTACTCACCGTGATCAAGAGAGATTTATTCTTGGGCTGTGGGATAAGAATCACATGATCCTCTCAACAGGTGCAGAAAAAGCATTAAAAAAATGCAGCAAACTTTTGATAAAAATTCTCAAGAAAGTAGGGGTAGAGGAATATATTTCAACATCCTAAGGGCCATATGAGAAAGACCCAAAGCTAATATCATCTTCAATGGGGAAAGACAGAGAGCTTTCCCTCTAAAGTCAGGAACACGACAGAGATGTCCACTCTCACTGCTGCTGTTCAACTAAGTACTGGAAGTCCTAGCCTCAGCAATCAGACAATGAAATGAAATAAAAGGCATCCAAATCAGCAAAGAAGAAGGCAAAATTCCACTCTTCGCAGACGATATGGTGCTCTAGGTAGAAAACCCAAAGGGGGAGACTGGGTGGCGCCTAGGTGGCCTGGTTAAGCATCTGACTTCTTCTCAGGTCATGATCTCATGATCTGTGGGTTCAAGCTCTTTGGGCTCTGTGCTGACAGCTCAGAGCCTAGAGCTTGGTTCGGATACTATGTCTCCCTTTCTCTCTGTCCCTCAACTGCTCATGTTCTCTCTTTCTCTCTCAAAAATAAATGCACAGTAAAAAAAGAAAAAAAAAAAAAAAAAGAAAGAAAACCCAAAAGACTCCACCACAAAACTGCTAGAACTGATACATGAATTCAGCAAAGTCACAGGATATAAAATCAAAGTACAGAAATCAGTTGCATCTTTACCCACCAATAATGAAGCAGCAGAAAGAGAAACCAAGGAATTGATCCCATATACAACTACAATAATAATTTTAAAATACCTAAGAATAAACTTAACCAGAGAGGTAAAAGATATGTATGCTGAAAACTATAGAAAGCTTATGAAAGAAATTAAAGAAGACACAAAGAAATGAAAAACATTCCGTGCTCATGGACTGGAAGAAAAAATACTGTTAAAATGTCGGTGTGTAGCAATCTATACATTCAATGCAATCCCTATCAAAATAACACCAGCATTCTTCACAGAGCTAGAATAAACAATTGTAAAATTTGTAGGGAACCAGAAAAGACCCCAAATAGCCAAAGTAATATTGAAAAAGAAAACCAAAGCTGGAGGCATCACAATCCCAACTTCAAGCTGTATTACAAAGCTGTAATCGTCAAGACAGTATGGTACTGGCACAAAAACAGACACATAGATGAATGGACCAGAATAGAGAACCCAGAAATAGACCCACAAATGTATGGCCAACTAATATTCGACAAAAAAGGAAAGAGTATCCAATGGCAAAAAGACAGTCTCCTCAGCAAATGATGTGAGGGAAAGTGGACAGTGACATGCAGAAAAATGAACCTGGATCACTTTCTTACACCATACACAAAAATAAACTCAATACTGATGAAAGACCCAAAGACAGGAAACCATCAAAATCCCAGAGGAAAAATCAGGCAACAACCTCTTTGACCTCAGGAGCAGCAACTTCTTACTAGACATCTCCAGAGGAAAGGGAAACAAAAGCAAAAATGAACTACTGGGACCTCATCAAGATAAAAACTTCTGCACAGCGAAGGAAACAATCAACAAAACTAAAAGGCAACCAACGGAATGGGAGAAGATAATTTGCAAATGACTTCTAGGATAAAGGGTTATTATCAAATTTCTCTGAAAAACTTATCAAACTCAACACCCAAAAATCCAAATAATCCAGTGAAGAAATGGGCCAAAGACATGAAAAGGCACTTTTCCGAAGAAGACATCCAGATGGCCAGCAGACACATGAAAAGGTACTCAACGTCACTCATCACCAGGGAAATACAAATCAAAACCGCATTGAGATACCACCTCACACCTGTCAGAATGGCTTCAATGAACAATTCAGGAAACAACAAATGGTGGCAAAGATGCAGAGAAAGGGAAAACCCTCTTGCACTGCTGGTGGGAATGCAAACTTATGCAGCCACTCCGAACAGTGTGGAGGTTCCCCAAAAAATTAAAAATAGAACTACTCTATGACGCAGTAATTGCACTAATAAATAAAACCAAAGGACACAAAAAATGCTGACTTGAAGGGGCACATGCATGTCAATGTTGATAGCAGCATTATCAATAACAGCCACATTAAGTTCGAGTGATGAATGGATAAAGAAGATGTGGTGTATATATACAGTGGAATAATACTTGACAATCAATATTACTTGGCAATCAAAAATCTTGTCATTTGCAACAAAAGTGGATGGCACTAGAATCTATTATACTAAGCGAAATAAATCAGAGAAAGACAAATATCTTACGATTTTACTCATATGTGGTATTTAAGAAACAAAACAGATGAATATAGGGGAAGGGAAGGAAAAACAAGAACAAAAGAGAGGGAGGCAAACCATAAGTGACTCTTAAATACAGGGAGCAAACTGAGGGTTGCTGGAGGAGTTTTTGGGGGAAATGAGCTAAATGGGTGATGGGCGTTAAGGAGGGCACTTGTTGGGATGAGCACTGGGTGTCATATGTATGTGGTAAATCACTAAATTCTACTCCTGAAACTATTATTAAACTACATGTTAACTAACTTGGATTTAAATTTTAAAAATTTAATTAAGAATTAATTAATGAATTAAAATAAAATCAAGAACACTTCCTAATTAAAACAAAACCCTATACCTTGATATTAGGTAGTGTACTCACCTGCAAGGCCGGGTTTCAAACCAGGTTGCTTATTTGTTTCGTACATTTTCAATATAAAATTGGGGATTCCTGCTACAGTCTTTCCTTGGTCTGAGCGAACACCTCCTTTTAATGCAGAGTGATATACTCCACGGGGCATATTCACCATTTCTTGCTTCACAAGAGATGTAAAAAATTCCTCCAAAGCTGCAAGAGTTCAAAGATCAAAAGTAAACATAGTATGTTAGGAGAGCATCATTCGTTCTTAACTCACATATATTTATTATATGCATACTTATACACCGCCCCCCACAGCTATATTTCAGACCAAACTTCACAAAGGGAAAAGGGAACCCTTGATTCCCATCCCTTGCTTAGTCTTCCCAAATTATAACATGGCACCCAGCTACTCAAGTTTAAAAATGACATCGCTCTTAATTCCTCTCTTTCTCACACTTATTATACGTAATCCTCTAGCACGTCCTTCTAGATCTGCCTTCAGAGATATATCCTGGACCCATCATCCATTTCTCTCCATGTTCACTGCTACTTGCCTACAAAACAGGTTTGTATTCCAGTGTTATTTTCCTAAGGGCCACTAGAGGTTGCCCAATACAGAAACAAAAAACAACAAAAACATCTAAGCTAAACAAGTGGTATGGAAAACAAAAAAGAAAACCCACTGCCTGTGCCTCTCATAGGAACACAAAAGAAGGGTCCACGTCACTGAAGAGGAATTTCATTCTTCAGAGATCTCAAAGTCGGCTTCAAATGACCATGATTAAATTGAAGGCACCAGGTGCTCACTGGAGCATCTATTACGCACCCAGTTCTGTTATCCTACATAGAAGCTTCCTAGATGTGGTCATGCTTCTCCACTGAAGACCCAGAGAACACCTGTGTGGGATGTTTTCCATGTACCCCTCCGGATCTGCCCTCTACCCTCTCCACCCTGCTCTGTGCGCTGCGAGACAACCTTTATCGACTACATCCGCGGGCTCCCTCCTTTGGCTTTCAGTTGGCTTCATCCAATGGGAGACACTCACAGAAGATCAGAGGTTGGAAGCGGAGTGAGGTCAGGGCATGTCCTGCAGGTCTGCTACGAGCTGCCGTAGTCCCTCTTCTGCAGACCCTGGCTCCCCTTCGGCAACACTATTTAGGGCACAGATGCTCTAATTCTCCAGACTGCTACCTCCCCTTCCTCACCTCTTCAGGCTGAGGGACATGAAGCCCCCTGGGGTGATGCACCACTGCTTGTGAATCTCCTCCAACCCCGACAACACAAATGTCAATGGTCCCTGTATACAACCCTCAAGGACTCCACCTGAATGTGCCTCTTCTGTCAAGCCCCTGATTAATACATCCTCTGAATGAGAGAGATGAGTGACATCCAGGCACCGGCCACATACCCCAAGTCCTACATATGCACACACGGGTAGGACTGCTTCACTCTGGGTGTGAGTACAGACTGTGCAACATGTCGCTAAGAATCATGTTTGTGAAGACAGAAGGAGCTATGGTGGGAGAAGGTAATTTCATGCTTTCTCAGAAGAGAATCTATTTTGGCAAAAGTTCATACATGTCAGGAGGTAAGTATACATCTGCATGTAGACTAACTCGGGAACGGAAATCTGTCTACTTGTCAAGCTCTCAGAGAACTAAGGATTCTCAAATTAACTCGAGCCCCAAAAATAGTTTAAATGAGGGTAGGATACCATGAGTATAACCCATATATACAGCACCATCTTTTCTAGCTACTAAGCTAGCAACTATGAACTTTTACTACTGCTTCTGAGCTTTGCCCTGTCCCTCCAGATGGTCAGGTGAGAATTTCAAAGTGCTGAAAATTCTGTAGAACACAGGTGTTAGATATACATTTTAAAAACACCCTTAATGTCCTTTAATAGGTGAGTGGACAAACTGTGGTACATCCTACAATGGAATACTATTCAGCAATGAAAAGAAATTGATATAGGCAAGTATTCAGGTAAATATCAAAGACATTATGCTGTGTGGAAAAAAAATTTAAACCAAAAATTGTATAAACTATATAGGGGGAAAAACAAACTAGTGAAATCCTAATAAGTCTATAGTGATTTTTTTTGCTTTGTTTTATTTTTTAAAGAGAGAGAGAGAGCATGAGGAGGGGAGGGGAAAAGGGAGGGAGAGAGAGAGAGAGAGATCGAGCGAGCATGAACAAGGGAGGGGAAAAGGGAGAGAGAGAGAGATAATCTTCAGCAGGCCTCGTGCTCAGTGCAGAGCCTGACACAGGGCTCGATCCCATAGCCCTGGGATCATGACCTGAGCTGAAATCAAGAATTGGTTGCTGAACCAACTAAGTCACCCAGGAAGCCCCTAACAGGTCTCTTGTTTACATAATTGCTTTGTACCCCCGTGAATTTCCTGGTTTTAACAATGAACTAAAGTATGTGAGGGGTTATCGAGCTGGGTATGCTACAGTGTACTTGCAACTTCTTTTAAGTCTAAAATTGTTTCAAAATTAAAAAAAAATACCAGTAACACCCCTATTTAAAAGAAGGCAAATTACTGGATTCACTCTGCAGCTGCTGTTGTGTTTACTTGGAAAGAAATAAGAGAAGAAAAGGACCAGGGTTCACTCATGCTCAGTGCAATTTGGTTTGCTGGCTGTAGAGACCTCGTATGTATTACCTACCCTGTAGCTATTAGGATATATGTTCCTAAGGCTAGTGTTTTCTCCTGGTTCTCTTCTGAGTTCTCTGGTAACTGCAGAGAAACAGAGGCCCAGAAAAATAAAGAACTTTGCTGCATCACGACACAGGCACCTTCCAGAGCTACCCCACCTGACGCTACTGAATTTTCTCAAACAGACATGCTTGCTGAACTCAAATCCTCCCCTTCTCTCTTGGGGAAAGACACTCATAACCATCGAGTACAAACGATGTAGAAGAGCCAGTTAATGGCCACCAAATCCCGAGAGGACGGGGCAACAGCACGCCTCGGCCACCCGTCTCCTTTTCCAATACCACACACCTGGGGGGGATGGACAACGTCATTTCAAGAGCCCAAAAGGACTAGGACTTCTGCCTCTATGGCGATTTGGGGACGCAGGAGGAACTCTGGGTAACTGAAGGCTTTTTTCCTTCCTGGGACTCACTACTAAAACTGCAAAGGGGTCCTAGACTCTCCAGAGCCATGAGGTAGGAAATGGGGAAGAACAGAAGAGAAGAACAGGAACAAGTCTTTAAGGCTCTTTTCTGGATATCGGGAGAAAAGGAAATGTGAACTCTTTGTCTAAGGTGCTCCGTTTCAGTTCCCTCTAATGAAAGGAGGTAGGGATTTGGGACAGAACTGTCTAGAAATAAATAGTATATATGTGTGTGTGCCTGAATTCCTCAGGAAATCTCCATGGAGGGTGAAACCTGGGGGGGGGGGGTTGCCTATTATAGGATATGGAGATTACGATTGACAAGATGACATTTCTTGTGTGGGCTGAACTTAATTTTCAGAAACTGACCTTTTTACATCCATGTACATTTAAGGTAGAATTGGGACAGAACAAGGTAATTGATGCCTGCTCGGAAAAATGTTGGCTAATACTGAATTAGAATGATTAGATATAATTAGAATAATTTATTTTAAATGTCAAGGTCCTGTAAGCTTTTTATCAAACTGAATGATCATACAATTTAATCCATTTTTTAAACCATTAATTTACAGCTTTCAAATATTGATACCATCTTTGGAATATTCTAAAGAAAGAATAAATTCATAATGAAAGTACCCAGGAAATCTCTGAAGATTCTAACGATCTTTCCATTCAGCTTATAGAATAAAGAACCACTATTTGAGCCAGTGACTTAAAGTCCCACTGCAAATTTGTCTTGTAGAATATAGCTTTCGAAATGAATTTTAGTTTTTCCCTGAAAATGGTTGTTTCAACTAGTTTTCCAGTTCCATCTGATTTGACTCTGAAGGATTTTCAGTGTGTTTTGAACACCATGACCACCTTAAGCAGTCCCTATAAAACAGTTACCTTTTACCTTTCAGATAGAAGGGAAGCTATAATTAAAGGAAGCTATAATATGTACACAACAGGAAAAAAAAAAAACACCATCAGACAGGTAAAATCACTGACAAATGCTGGCTTCCCTGCACTAAATAGAAGTCACCTGGTAAAACCGAAGGAGCAGTAAGCGACAACAGTTTGAGATAGCAAGAGCCAGGAATGGAAAGATCCAGATCCTTTTCATCACCCTCATCATCTTCATCTTCATCTAGCTCATCAGGAATAGGGATTTCTGGTCTTATCTGAAATGACAGAGAAGGCTAGTAAAACATTACGTAAAATCTTTTCTTTGTCCTTTTTATGCGAAGACATAAAGACTGAGACTCATTGCTCTGTAATGTCAAAAGACCATTAAAAATTAATTTTAAAATACCTGTTCATTTTCAGATTAACTAAATGGTAAATTCTATCTTATTAGATACAATCCCAGATCCGTGTAAAGAACTAATGGTAATATACTAAGAAAATTACCATAAGCCAGCCTAAGCAATGATTATTATAGAACACTAATAAAATTTTACACCATCTGACAGTAAAATGCAAACACTGACACATTCAATATATTGAACTTCTACGGTTTGTAATTAAATATTTGCCTTGTCGGGATACTTTTTTTCTTAATTTGTGATTCTGGCCATATCTCTATGGCAAAGCTTAAAATCTTCTAGTAGAATATATAGTAGAGATCAAAAAAGGACAGAATGCTTTAGTTGGCTTTATTTTAGACTCGGCAGTTTGTTGCTATAGAATATAAAAACACTAAAATCTGTAATTGGTAGCTATACTTTATTGTGTCTAATTTGCAATTTGAAGATTTTTGTGGGCGCTCTGTGATTAGTTAGGTTTGCTTGAACCAAAAATTCGAAAATGGGAAAAGATTACCACCATTTAGTTTCTACAAGCTACAACTGTCAAGCAATTAATTAAATTTTTAATACTTTCAATGACACACCATCATAATGCCCACATGGAGATAATTAAGCATTAGGGGAGGAAATCAAAATATATAAAAGTGGTTTGCTATAACCATAAAGTGCCAGAACCCGGTCATTACCATTAGCCTGTCTCCCGGAGTTATTTTTAGAAATAATTAAGAATTCCTGCAGACTGCCTTCTTCATAGGTCCCTAAAGCACTGTTCCATTTAGGAACTGCACTGAGTCAGGATTCTTGCAGGGGGATAAAAGAAAACAGAGAGGAAATGCTTCTCTTAAGTATAATAACCTCAATTCCAATGAAGCCTTTCAACCATAACTAGTGTTCTCTTCACTAGCAAAGGAATAAAAGCAACCTGACGAGCGGAGCGCTTTCCAAGGCAAGATTTAATTCTGATTCAGTATGGAGGACCCAATTCTCAGAGGACCAAGCCAGCCATAATTACAGAGATAACAACAATGTATGTTTCACATAGGGCACAACGGCTTTTGTTGATATCAGTGCAAACCGGAGAAACTTGGGCACATTCGCAACCCTTTTGGCTCTCACAAGCAGGGCTTTCCAAGTGTCTCTGGTCTGTCTACACACTTTGAGTTTGGCAGGTTTAGTATCATCAGGAGTTCTCTTAGAGACTCTAACCAGTCCTAGTCGCCTCCAAAGATCCAAAAAAGGAGTTGTTTCTGGGTCTGTTTGCCTTGCTTCCCTTTTACACATCGTGGTACGCACTGGAAATGATACTGGAACACCACACTGGGGAAACAGACAGCAATGCTTACGGCCAAGACTGCACAGGTCACACCAGCTCTCACCCCGGTTATCAAAGCGCTGGGCAGCTCTGACCTCTGCCATATCCACAGGTGGTGGGAGGTTTGGGGAGGTGGAAGACAGAGGTGACCACTTAAATCAATATGAAAATTCAGAGGGATAGGTGATGAGAGAGAAATATTGGAACCCTCCAGCTCTGCGGGTGGGAATGTAAAATGGTGCATGCAGCCCCTTTGAAAAACAGTTTGGCAGGTTCTCAGCAAGTTAAAAAAGAGTTACCCCATGGCCCAGCAACTCCATTCCTAGGTATATAAGGAGAGAAATGAAAATAGATATTCACATAAAAATTTGCATATGAATGTGAATGCATTGTTTGTAACAGCCAAAGAATGGAAGCAATTCAAATGCCCACGACCAGTTAAAGCATAAACAATGTGTGGCATATCTACACGACGGAATATTATTTGGTCACAAAAAGGTGTGAGGTACAGATAGGTGCTGGAGATGAATGAACCTTGAAAACACGCTGTGACGGAAGCCAGTCACAAAAGACCACACACTTACTATGTAATTTCATTATAGAAAAGGTTCAGGCTAGGCAAATTTAGAGACAGAAAGTAGATTAATGGGTGCTTAGGGCTGCGGGAGTGGAAAGGAGTGATGGCGATTGACTACTAATAAAATGTTCTAAAATTAGATTGTTGTTGCTCTGTGATTCTTTGCACAGTTCTTTAAATATACTAAACCCACTGAATTATACACTTTAAATGGGTGAATTATATGGGATGCGGATTATAGCTCAATAAAGCTGCTGAGAAAGAGAGGAAGACGGTGAGGAGGCAGGGAGGAAGGGAAGGAGGGTGGAAGGCAGGCTATACGGAGGAGGTGGAGGGGAGGGGTAGGTGGTGGGGTAGAGGAAGAGGAAGCAGAAGCAGGAAGCTGTTGCCATCTTCAGAGGGATCTTAATTGGTGAATGAACTAAGGCAAACAACCAAATGTTTCCAATTCCAGAATTATTTAACATAAAAGGGATACAATTATTTTTGCACACATTTTAGCCTGTCCAGTCTTTCTGATCAGTCAACCTAAATTACTTAAAGTGAGTCACAGGACACAGGCCATCAATATCTCTTAGACATGCTAAAGAAAGAGAGACCTACTAGGTTGGAGATAAAAAATAACGATCCACTCATCTATCTTATGTTGTCTAATTTTACATTCACATAACTGGATGCCTATATTAATTTATCTGCCATGTGGTAAAGAGCATATGTCTGCATCTTACATATGCATATATTTTAACAAAGAAACTACAGATGTACTGTAATGTAAGAATAGCTGATGTATTCTGCCTCCTTACAATGGCAGGATTTGTTTCTTCAAAGGTGAGTTAATTCTCCTGGACAAATTAGCACTTATTGTTGGACCTTGGTTCCATTACATTTCAAGGAGTATTTATCCCAGCTTCCCTATGTGAGACCCAGGCTTTTCCCTTGCTTTGCGTATAACTACTGAATTAAGATGTGTGTGTGTACAACTAAGAAAAATCAAGAGAAGTCATATAAAACAATACCTGTAAAACTGTAACATTTTGGTAATTATGTTACAAAATATATTACATTTGGTAATTATATAAAACATCCAGGAAAACCACATATATATTTAAAAACATGCATACACGCACGCACAGTCACACACAACTACACCCTTCCAAATATAGCTAAGCTTTGTTGAAGAAACTTAAAGGGAGAGCCAAATATTAAATGATAAATTACTTTTAGAATCTGCTTCAAACTGAATATTGGAAAGCTTATACTACAAAATGCCTCGCTGTGGGTTCTGAGCCAGATAACCTTTTAACTACCTTGCCCCTGTATAGCCTATGAAAATCTAAGAGTTTGTGCATAAACACGGGATTTTATTTAGAACATGTCAAGTATCTGCATAAATTTATTTAAAAAGAGAAACAGCTTCTGATGAATGCAGTGACATTCACTTAAATCAACGCCAAACAGGTTACACCATATTAATACCAACCCAGGATGCATAATGAGTTCTCTTATATTACTCGCTTCAAAAATTAACTCCAGAAATCAAGAACACAATTTATGTTAAGATTCTTTACTAAAAAGCTTAATTTTTGAACAGCGAAGTAGTTTTTCATGAACCCAAGGCAGAGATCGGAGTCACTCTTCTGCCTTAATGTTTCTCCATTACTGATTGCTTAACCAGAATAACAATTCTCTATATTTTTGTTTATTTTATTGGGTTGGGGGGCACACTAACGAAGGCCAAGGAAAAGAATAAATAGCTCTCCACACAACAAAGAAATACAAACTAAAAACAAAAATCGTTTCTGTCCATTTCTTAACATTGGAATCAACAAGGCTTCAAAGAAGCCCCTGAAACTTTTTGACCAACTTTAGATTTGCATGTTTCAAGTGACCAACAATGATATTTTTATAAACCAACAAAACATTTGGATTCACTCAACATTCCCAGCTTAGAATACAGCCTCAGGCTTAGTGTATGTCCGATAAATAATTGCTAAACCGATGCAAGTATGAAGTGACTAATCCCACAGAACTTCCTAATAACAGCCTAATGACAAGAAAGCGGAGTTCATGAATTTGATCTTCAAATCCCCAATTCTTGTGAAACTTCACAATATCTTGTGAAACTTCACAGCTCACTGGCATTTTCCATCCTTCCTTCGGTGGACTGTTTCATTCAACCCGAACTTATGTCTGCCACTCTCCCAACACCTTTTGTTCTATCAGTCTGTGAGCTTTCAACAAGCTTCACGGTTTAGATGGATGTATCAATGAACAAGAAATCTTTCTTTAGTAGATTTAAAGACAGGCAATACTGTACTTACCAGAGTAGCTAAATTACATACAAAAGTAGCCATGTTGCTAAGGATACAGTGTATCTTTTTGTTGTTTATTTTTACTTGAAATTTAGAGCACTCTCATTTAAAAGACTCCACAAGTTTTCACAGGGGGAATGTGGATGTACTTTCACTGGAAAGGTACAGAGGTAACCTTCACGTTTCTGAGTAAGCCAAACTGCGCATGGTACACAGTAACTAATCTCTGTTAACAAGGAAGAATCTTAACTTTTACACAGTAGAAGTCTCTACCTGGCAAGGACTCTTCAAACAATTGAAAATATGTTTTTTATAGAAGATGAACCTTGGTTTCACATCACTGCTATCACCTACAGAACAGAGGTTCGGACCTGACTCAGTTGTATCCTTAGCCTTTGGGGGGTTTATTCAGGATATAAACACATTGACCATTTTTTGGACTTTTAGCTCTTAGGTATTCAAATGACCAAATTGAAAATCAGTAATCAATGAAAGGAAGAAGAATGCATTGTGCAGTCTTGGAAGCAATAATTCTCCACGAGGAGGCAGGTTGTCTATATCAGAGACAGGGGGGCTCAAAGACAGACTCGTTCAAGTCACTTATGTTCCCTCATCTTAAACCTAGTTGAGAATACCCACTACAGTGAAACACTGTTACTTCAGGGAGTAAGTTTTATCCCAGAAGTTTGGGTAGAAAGAAGTTGAGATATTTCCTTTATAGTTCTTCACACTCTAATGGTGAAAACCTAAGCATATGGAGAAACCCCACCTCTAAGTATGCCACTACCCTTTGTATTGGAAGGTATAAAGAGCTGTTTATAGGTCCCCAGGGATCAAAGGACATTGAATAGTTAGATTAAGAAAGTATTTAAGAGACACGTGAGTGTCTCAATCAGTTAAGTGTCAGACTCCTGATAACACCTCAGGTCATGATCACCCAGTCACGAGACTGAGCCCTGTGCTGGGCTCTGCTAAGCATGAAGCCTGCTTGGGATTCTCCCTCTCTCCCTCTGCCTCCTCTCCCTCTCTGCCCCTCCCTGCCACCAGCACATGTGCACACACTCTAAATAAATAAGAAAGTATCTAATATTTGACTAAGCATAGTCCTTAACTGAGTATAAACTCTAAAAATCACAATCGGAAAACTGAATACAATGCTAACGTAGGAAAAGATATAAACATATCAGTACCCAAGGGGTAAAGACTAAACAGTTAGGAATATGTGGCAGTTATTTAAACAAAGCTACTACTCCAAATTTCATGAATAACAGCTAAAAGTAAAGGTAATTATGATGCTGTGATCTAAATTAGCAACTGCTTCTTTTTTTTTTTTTTTTAATGTTTTTTTTTTTATTTATTTCTAGGAGAGAGAGAGAGACAGCATGAGCAGGGGAGGGTCAGAGAGAGAGGGAGTAACAGACTGAAACAGGCTCCAGGCTCTGAGCTGGCAGTCAGCACAGAGCCCGACGCGGGGCCCGAACCCACGAACCGCGAGATCATGACCTGAGTGAAAGTCGGACGTTTAACCGACTAAGCCACCCGGGCGCCCCTAGCAACTGCTTCTTAAAATAATAATAATAAAAATTATCTTTCCAGATGTTGTACCCAACTTACTGGTAGGAGTTTGCATATAAAATTTACATGCAGCCTTTTTACCTATAATGTTTCCTTTTTCTTTATTTTTTTTGTTTTGTTTATGTGTTTATGTATTTAATATTTTAAAATATAATTTATTGTCAAGTCAGCTAACAGACAGTGTGTACAGTGTGCTCTTGGCTTTGTGTGTGTGTGGGGGGGTAGATTCCATGATTCATTGCTCACATATAACACCCAGTGCTCATCCCAACAGGTGCCCTCCCAGTATTGCTAAGTCACCAGAGTGCAATCTGAAGTCCATCTCTTTTCATTTCATGAGTCACAGAACACTTTTCCCTAAGCCTTCCCATTTGGGAAAGCCCATCTGTCTTTGCATCATCAACAGGAGAAAGCCTGCCTTAGGATTTGGTTTTACAAGAGCCTGTCATTGACCCCTCCAATTCAATTCAATAAATACAAGTTTGCCTTGTTCGTACTGGCAACTGACCTCTATATAAACTCAATCCCAAGGAAAAAGTCAACCCATTTTAATGCCTAAGGATCCCTAGACATTTGTATCAAAACTTCTTGAGCCACTTGACCTAAGGACTGATTCTGAGTAACACAAAACCAAACTTCTAATACAATGTCCGCCTTAAACTCTAGAGGCATTCAGTAACACTTGTATGCATTTGAATTAGCAGTAACATTAAAATGTGAGATCCAAACACTTAGGTCCTTAATATAACCTTGTAACTTAAACCTGGTTATATTAACTAGATATTAGAAAAGGCTGTATGTTGGGGTGCCTGGGTGGCTCAGTCGGTTGAGCATCCGACTTTGGCTCAGGTCATGATCTCACAGTTTGTGAGTTTGAGCCCCGTGTTAGGCTCTGTGCTGACAGCTAGCTCAGAGCCTGGAGCCTGTTTCAGATTCTGTGTCTCCCTCTCTCTCTGACCCTCCCCTGCTCATGCTGTTTCTCTCTCTCTCAGAAATAAATAAAAACATTAAAAAAAAAAAAAGGCTGTATCTTTTTAATCAAAAAACTAAGAAAGACACCTGGCTGGCTTAGTCAGTAAAGCATGCAACTCTTGGTCTCGGGGTCATTAAGTTCAAGCACCAGATTAAGCATAAAGCTTCAAAAAAATTAAAAAATATATATAGTATTATAATATATAATATGTACATATTATATTTACATATATACATATGTACATTATAGTATTTACATATTATATAGTATATATTATATTGTGTATATATATATAAATTAAGATAATGTCACACAATGTGTTAACTCTTAGAGGAGTGATCCTTTCTTCATCCAGTTCTCCGGGATTAAGCTATATATCATTTCACACTAAATTAATTAAAATGACAGATTTTTTTCACATGGCATCTCAATTCTGTATCACAAATAAGGGTCTTTGGCTGCACGGGCTGCATAAACCTTAGTCTATGCAGGCCATGCTTGGATTTGAAGTCCAAGATGGAGCACTAACTGGGCAAAATGGTTCCTATGGTGACAAAGATCTTCCAGAGTAAGCCACGGGCACAGGCATGCAGTCACCTACAGAGCCTTTGTCTGTACCACAGGTCTCTTGCACCTGCCTCAAAGAGATTTAAATTCATAATCTGTGGGGTCTAAGACCTCTACAGTCTTTTACAGATCAGACAAATTAATAAATATAAGTTCTCATGTTTTATAGACAACATATCTAGAGTTATGTACACATCCATTAGATAAAAATCTTCTAAGAGAGGAAATATATACAAATAAATTTAGAAAACCCAGCAGTGAAGAGATACCACTGAGAAAGCAGAAAGGCTTACCTCTTCAGGCAGGTGAAGAATGGTGTGCTCTCCTGCACTAAAATGTGACAGAGATTTATAGGCAGCGTTTGCTACGACTGATTCCTAGACGGGGTACCAGGAAGACAAACAAAATAAACAATATATATTACACAGCGCCTCTGCAGGAAGAACAAAGTTCCCACACCAATTTCAAAGTGCGATAGTCAGGGCTCTGGAAATTATATTCAAGCCTTGCTTACTATGTTCTGACTAAAAAAGGAGAGAAGTCAGCACTCGGTAGAGAGATCAGAAGCGCTGTATTTTCATCCTAGTTTGGACACTGAACATAAATTAAGTCAAAATAGCTCAGGTCTTCATGAGGTGGTGTGGTTTACGGGAAGTAGTATATGGATTTAGAGTCTGATCGGTTGGAATTACGTTCTGATTCTCCAGCTACTAAAAAGTTAGCCCTTGGGATCTAAGCTCACACACTCATGAGTCTAGTCTAACATCACCAACAGACACCCTCTTCTTTGTTCTCCTTGACTGGAAATGACATCTAGAACATCATCTGGACTTTTGTTTGTTTGATACGCTTGTTGAGGGACGGGCAAAGCAGGAAAGGGCCGATTAATAAAATGACACATGGCACCAGTCTCTCTTCACATCTTGCAGCTTCACAAGGTAACAAGTGCATCTGATGACAGACATGTATTAATGGGCACAAACTGAAAAGAATTTCTAGGGGCGCCTGGGTGGCTCAGTCGGTTAGGTGTCCGATTCTTGGTTTCGGCTCAGGCCACAATCTCACAGTTCGTGAGTTTGAGTGCCACATTGGGCTCCATACCGGCAGTGTGGAAGCCTGCTTGGAATTCTCTCTCTCTGCCCCTCCACTGCTCATGCTCTCTCTCTCTCTCAAAATAAGTAAATTATTAAAAAAAATAGAAAAGAATGTCTAAAACCTAAACTTACTAATGTCAGAATTGTTTTAAGAACAAAAAGCCATCATTTCAAGTGGGGTTACGTTTGTTTATTCAAAGCATCTGGTTTCATGGTTCTTTCCCACCTAGGTTGTGTTTCAGACACCCTTGTGATAGTACCTTGTTTTGAGTATGGGTCCAGAGGAAGCTGAGGACTTGGACTTTAAAATTCTGAAAAATCAATAAACATTACATTTTTAAGTGGAAGAGAAAACTGAGAACAATATATAGTAGCAAATAGTGCAAACTGAACCACTTTCACAAGTATATTGCTAGTGACTGACTTAATCTGTATTTACCCATCATTTATAAAACGAAAATACTCAGAAAGAGACTCATCATGGGAAACATATGGACATTTTAAACACAATGAGATGTTAGTATTACTAAAGTTAGAAACCTAACCATTTTTTGCTGACCTCTCAAGTCCTACTTAGTACGAACATCACTCCTCTCTTTCTGTGTATACGGTTTACTCCCTAGTAGATGTACACTCCTTACGGCAGTGACCGACTTTTTCCATTTCCAAAGCCTAGACCAGAGAGCCCAGTTCCTCAAATGCCAAATATTTAATAAGCAATTGAGCTTAAAAACCCATTTACTTGCCAAGGCTCAAGGTCTTCTTCATTTCAATCACATCTAATTTCTTGCCCTTATAAATCATAGAAGGTTCTTCTATTCCTCCTTGTCTTTGTATATTCTATTTCTTAGACTTCAATATGAAGCAACATTTTTTTAAAAAAAATTCTACAAGAACCTAGTCTTATAGCACCAACTAAATAAGGTTTCTTTTAATTCCTCCTAGAATGCTGGTCACTTCCACACTATACTATCATAGCCCTTTGATTTAGTGTATTCACCCATCAACTGTTATTATATTTGGCACAAAAACAGACACTCAGAATAATGGAACAGAACAGACCCAGAAATGGACCTACAAACATATGGTTAACTAATCTTTGACAAAGCAGGAAAGAGTATCCAATGGAATAAAAGACAGTCTCTTCAGCAAATAGTTCTGGGAAAACTAGACAGTGACACATGTGAAAAAATGAACCTGGACCGCTTTCTTACAGTATACACAAAAATAAACTGAAAATGGATGAAAGACCTAAACGTAACACAGGAAGCCATCAAAATCCTAGAGGAGAAAGCAGGCAAAAACCTCTTTGACTTCAGCCGCAGCAACTTCTTACTAAACACGTCTCCAGAGGCAAGGGAAACCAAAGCAAAAATGAACCTCATCAAAATAAAAAGCTTCTGCACAGCAAAGGAAACAATCAGCAAAACTAAAAGGCACTAAAAGGCAACCAACAGAGGATCCTCACCAACAGAGAGATGTTTACAAATGACATATCAGATAAAGGGTTAATATCCAAAATCTACAAAGAACTTATCAAACTCAACACCCAAAAAAACAAATAATCCAATGAAGAAATGGCCAAAGACATGAATAAACACTTCTCCAAAGAAGACATCTGATGGCTAACAGACATATGAGAAGATGCTCAACATCACTCATCATCAGGGAAACACAAATTAAAACCACAATGAGATACCACCTCACACCTGTCAGAATGACTAACATTAACAACTCAGGCAACAACAGATGTTGGCGAGGATGCAGAGAAAGAGGATCTCTCTTGCACTGCTGGTGGGAATGCAAACTGGCGCAGCCACTCTGGAAAACAGTATGGAAGGTCCTCAAAAAATTAAAAACAGCAACTGAACTACTAGGTATTTATCCAAGAGATATGAGTGTGCTCTTTCAAAGGCGCACATGCACCCCGATGTTTATAGAGTGCTATTAACAATAGCCAAAGTGTGTAAAGAGCCCAAATGTCCATCGACGGATGAATGGATACAGAAGATGTGGTATATAGATACAATGGAGTATTACTCGGCAATCAAAAAGAATGGAATCTTGCCATTTACAACTACATGGATGGAACTCGAGGGTATTATGCTAAACAAAATTAGTCAGGGAAAGACAAATACCATATGAAACAGATGAACATGATGGAAGTGAAGCAAAACAATATAAAAACAAGGAGGAGGACAAAACATATGAGACTCTTAAGTACAGAGAACAAACTGAAGGTTGCTGGAGGGACTGCGGGAGGGATGGGCTAAATGGGCAAGAGGCATTAAGGAAGACATTTGTCGGGATGAGCACTGGGTGTTATAGGTAGGGGATGAATCACTGGACTCTACTCCTGAAATCATCATTGCACTATACGCTAACAAACTTGGATGTAAATTAAAAATAAATTAACAGTTTAAAAAATGTTATTATAATTATTGTTGCTTATGTTTACTACCTCTTTCGTGAACCTTTGAGCTTTTGGAAGGCAAGGACCAGGGCGCCTGGGTGGCTCAATGGGTTAAGCATGATTTCACCTCAAGTCATGATCTCAGAGTTTGTGAGTCTGAGCCCCACATCGGGCTCTCTGCTGCCAGCACATAGCCCACTTCAGATCCTCTGTTTCCCTCTCTCTCTGTCTCTCTCAAAAATAAATAAACATTTAAAAAAAAAAAAAAAGGAAGGCAAGGACTGACAACATGGTATAATGGGAAAATACACGCTATGGAGCTAAAAATCATAGGTTTAGACATTAGCTTTCATTTAGAAATGACAACGTTGTTCAAGTTACTTGTCTGGCATGTAGCAGGTACTCAACAAACATTTAATGAATGGACGAACCTCTTAATAAGAAATCTCAGATACTTTGGCTGTAAAATGAAAAACAATACCTTCCTGTGAGACATTATACTGAATTGGTATAAATTAATGAGAAAGGTGTCAGGAATATAATAAGTACTTAAAAAGAATATCTAAAATATGTATTAGTGTCTCTAAAGCCTAGTATAGCTTTAATAAATATATCCTGAGTCAATGAATGGATGTACAGGCACTTTGGAAAGCAATTGAGAAAATACACTAACGGAAACATGGTATCTATTTTCAACAAGATTTTATTTTAATGGGAAAAATAATATATGTAAAAACACATATATCTGTAGTATTAAATAGAAATAAATGTTCTCAAGGGCACCTGGGTGGCTCAGTTGGTTGAGGTCCCGGCTTTAGCTCAGGTCATGATTTTGTGGTTTGTGAGTTCAAGCCCTGCATTGGGCTCTGTGCTGACAGCTTAGAGCCTGGAACCTGCTTGGGATTCTGTGTCTCCCTCTCTCTCTGCTTCTCCCCTGCTCATGCTGTCTCCCCCCACCTCTCAAAATAAATAAACACTTTTTAAAAAAGAAATGTTCTTAGAACAGTATAAAAAACAGTAAAGATAAAGAATCAGGTCTCTGGCAACAGACTCCTACTTGCACAAAAATTCTGAAAGAACAAGATGAATTAAACCCAAGTATTTGTCTAAAATAGATTTTAATTTAGAGATGAAAAAAAAACCACATTTCTGACAGAGAAAACAATGTGCACAAAGGAAAAGAAACAGAAAACTCTGGAGGCAGAAAAAAACATCACCAGTGGTTTGATTTTCCTGAAGTGCAGGGGGCGGAAAAGTAGAGCGAGGCCAGATTCTAAAAGACCTGACTAGGGTCTTCCTGCTTAGGTAAAGAGGGGTTGGACTCTATTTTTGGCAAACACAAGACACTGTGGTGACTGGAAAGAGCAAGGACCTAAGAAATGCTTTGGGAAAATTATATCCAAACTCTAAGCAGTTAATAGAGAACACGTTATGTAAATACTCATAGGGAGACAGGAAAGGAGGGAGGGAGAAAGGAAGGCCATGAAGAGTGAGAGAGGAGGAGATGGGGAAAAAGAGGGGCAGGGAGAGACAGAGAGAGAGCAAGACAGATAGACTGAGACAGGTGGACAGAGGTCTCTTTCTACATGTCTTTAGTTCTGCTTCCCAGTGGATATGGTAACTGAAGGGCTCTCTCTTACTGGGAGGAAACTGGTGGATGGAATGGCCTCAAAGCAGTCTATCTGAGCAACAGAGGAACCTCATTAAGCCTGAAGATAAACCAAAATAAGACACCAGTGTAAAAGAATGTAAATTTGGAAAAGAAAAAAAAAATGAAGTCCCCCTTCCCAAAAGAAAACTGACAGCCATTGGTAAGCAAAGAGAAGAAACCAACACCAAAACCAGTTCATAAATTAACCTGTAATAAAATCTGAATGATTCCAAGTACAAGCAAGACAAACATCTATGAGTTCAGTCCTTGAAAACAGAAAATAAATATACACAATATGTCCTTACTTTGGCTTTTAGTCTTAGCTCCTTATCAGTAGCCCAACAGACTTTCTGACAATGTTAAGTGCATGTATAATAGTCACCATAGAAAAGACGGTTGGTGAACTCCATACTCTAGATCTAGTCTCGAATTGATTCTTTTTTTAATCCCCTAAAACAAAAACCCAAATGTGAGAATAAACTGAAGTAAGTACCCTATATTGGTTCAATCATTCATTAACTATTTACTGAATATACGTTAGGTGCTAGGCACTATAGGAGGTATTGTATCCTCAGGAAGGACAAATTAGATTTTATTCACTGTGCAGCATTAAGAATGCTTAGAAGAAGTATTATCTTATAATCCTGCTTTATCACATAATCTAAAGCATTTAAGAGACTATTATTGGGGGAGGTAGTTTATCGAAGTCTGTGAAGGACTCAAACTAAAAGTTCACAAAGACTTCATGTGAAAATCAATGGGTGCTCTTTAATGGAAAACGAGAAAAGATGAGCATGCGCGGGAATATGGCTATAAAAGTCGAGACATAAATGAATTCGTCACTCTCCATTTCACTCATTTCAGGAAGAGATAATACAGAAAATGTTAAGCAGAATATATAAATCTTCTAGTAAAACACCTTCTGCCAAGTGTTTCGGGTCACTACAATGACAAATACGGAGTAGTTCGTAAAATTATTTTCCTCTCCTAAGACAGATTGATTTTTCCATCATCCTCATTGTATAGATCTTCTTGCGAAATGTGAACTAATGTGTAAAAATTGAATCTTCGTGACAATTGTAGAAGCAAAACACAAATGACAATATGTCCATACTATGGGAGGTTTTGCTCTGCCTTATTAAAGTCTTTGTGACATTTTTTACAACTAAAAACACCAACAGAATGAATTTAAACTTTTCGTCTCGAGAATTCTATTACTGTAGAAACACTGTTTTTAACATACTTTAAAAATTTTTGACTATATTCTCCCAATAAAAACTTGGTATCCTTTATGTTAAAAAGCCTTAAAAATTGAATTGAGGGGCACCTGGGTAGCTCAGTGGGTTAAGCGACCAACTTTGGCTCAGGTCATGACCTCACAGTTTGAGCCCCGTGTTTGGGCTCTGTGCTAAAAGCTCAGAGCCTGGAGCCTGCTTCAGATTCTGTGTCTCCATCTCTCTCTGTCCCTCCCCCACTTATGATCTCTCTCTCTCCCTCTTTCCCTCTCTCTCTCTCAAAAAAATAAATATTTTAAAAAATACAGAATTGATAAGATGGATGAAGATATCATGTTCTTAGAACAAAATATGGTAAAGGATTTTTGGCCAAGATTATGAAGAAGATATTCATAATATCTTCTTCCAGAAGTTATTATAAAGCCCATGTCTTTCCAATGTAAAAACAGGTAACGTCTTGAGCTCCAAATGCATACCTCGTATTCAGCTGTATTGACTGTCAGAGAAGGAACCAGAGAAAAGAGTTCACTGAGGGTCTTCAAAATGAGAGGTCTCGTGTCACAGCTGAGCTTTGGGGACAGCGCGTTCCACGTGGAGCGAATACAAACAACCTGGGAAGCAAAGGAAAAAGTCAACGCCCAGAAAAATCCCAACTGAGAGGAGGTCAGTAGTAAAGAGGAGTCACTTTATTATAGGGAAGCTAGAAAAGAACAAGAGCAGTCCCAGAAGTTAAGATTTGGTAAGGTAGCACTCCTCCAAAGAACTTATTTACACCCATGTAATCAACTGTTAAAGATGCAGTGGCCTGAGTCACATGACTGCTTCTTTACTACTGTATTTTGGTTAATCAAGGAAAGAAAACTCATTCGTGCGTGCACATGCATACACACACACATACACACACACACACACACACACACACACACACACACACACACACACACACACACACACACACATTAGATTAGCCACATACATTGTTGAAGAATCAGTGCCCGAAACAAAGAAGGATAAGATAACCCTTAAAATGTTAGAACATTTTTAAGGACAGGTATCCACAGTTTTTATAGTTTTTCAGTCCTACTGAAACTGTATCACCACTCAGAAAATTGAGATGTTAGTTTATATAAGTTAAACACACTCAAATCATCTTGTAAACATTTAAAGGAGTCTGGGGAATAAGTGTATTATTTAAAATAATAATTGGGGGGTTGCCTGGGTGGCTCAGTCGGTTAAGTGTCTGACTCTTGATTTCAGCTCAGGTCATGATCTCCCAGTTTGTGAGTTCAAGCCCCCCATGTCAGTGCAGAACCTGTTTGGGCATCTCCCTCTCTCCTTCACTCTCTCTGCCCCTCCCCTGCTTGCTCGCGCGCGCTCTCTCTCTCTCTGTCTGTCTCTCAAATAAAGAAACTTTAAAATAATAATTGGGGTTCCTAGCTAGCTCAGTCAGTAGAGCAAACAACTCTTGATCACAGGGTCCTAAGTTCAAGCCCCATGCTGGGCACAGAGCCTACTTTAAAATATATATATAAATGGATTGATAGATAGGTAGATAAATTACTTTAAAACTTTGTTTTCAAAGTCTCTTCAGATTTTTTAAGAGACTTTTAAATCATAAAACTACAGCTCTGGGATGCCTGGGGGGCTCAGTCAGTTAAGTGTCTGACTATTGATCTCAGCTCTGGTCTTATCTCAGGGCTGTGAGTTTCAAGCCCTGAGATGGGCTCTGAGCTGGGCGTGAAGTCTCTTTACCATAAACAAACAAACAAATGAATGAACAAACAAACAAAACACCACAACCCAACAAAAATGTTGCTTTTAACTTGATCCAATTTTCTAAATCAAGTGTTTTTTTTTTTTTTTTTAAATATTTTTATTTACTTCTAGGAGAGAGAGAGAGACAGCGTGAGCAGGGGAGGGTCAGAGAGAGAGGGAGACACAGACTCTGAAATAGGCTCCAGGCTCTGAGCTGGCAGTTAGCACAGAGCCCGACGCGGGGCTCGAACCCACGAACCGTGAGATCATGACCTAAGCGAAAGTAGGACGCTTAACCGACTAAGCCACCCAGGCGCCCCTAAATCAAGTGTTCTTAATTCATTTCAATATCTGGCTTTCTGGATATTCAAATGTCTTCTTAAGTTCAATTCCAAGTACAACAGATGATTTCTTCACTTGCAGATATTTTATTAAAATTTGAAAACTCAGGCAGGAAGAGTGCCAACATAGATCAATTAGAGTTTAACAAGGATTAATCTTTCTCAAATACTCCCATCTCTTCTCTTAAGCTTCAATTAACACACACAATTTATCTCCATCTAGAAACATTAAATTATTTAAGAAAAACTATGTAAGGTAGTAAGTGAAAAGGTGTCAAAGATAAATGAAGAATATATACTTAAGGACACAGATTAAGGAGAGGCATAAAGAGGAGGTGGCAAAAAGAGTATCTCAGAACAACAGGATTTGGTGCTTTTGCTCTTATTTTCTTCTTTCCATGAAACAGCAGAAAAAATGGTCTTTGGCTTGGGATCCACTACAAATGGAACCCATTAACATTTACTGAGGGGGCACCTGTGTGGCTCAGTTGGCTGAGCATCAGTTCATGATCTCAAAGTTCATGAGTTCGAGCCCCACACTGGGCTCTGCACTGACCATGCAGAGTCTGCTTGAAATCCTCTCTCTCTGTCCCTCCCCTGCTTATGTGTGCACAGGCTCTCTCTCTCTCTCAAAAATAAACAAACACTAAAAAGCAAACAAACAAAACATTTACTAAGGGTGGCACCACATGCCAGGCATGTCAGAAGGCACATTTATACAAAGCTCCAATGCCACAGATCATCAGTATTTGCAATGAAAAGAAACAAACAAACCAAATCTTTAAAAGCTATCAATTCAACATTGAGTATATACCCAGAGAAGTGTAAAGTACTAAGAGGAACAATGGAATACAAAACATAAGCTAACATTTCAAAGAACTGAGCACCTATTGAAAAGGAAGAGAAATGTATGCCATTCTAAATTATCAGGAAACAAAAGGTGTACGATTAGAACTTAAACTGCCTTCAATGGAAAAGTTTCAGGAGGAGCCAGGGAGTAGAGCCTGTTCTGGGGGTAGGGGTCATCAGAGAGAACATCGAGAGCCAGAAAGCCTTGAGATGGGACTTGAGGAAGGAAGGGACAGAAATCAGGAAGACACTCCAGGAGGAAATGGAAAGCATTAAGTCAGAACACAAAACACAAAACCAGTGCACAAAGTACCAGAGGAAAGCCTGGCACATCACAGAGTCCCTAGGATACCAAAGCAGTTTCAATCAGAGTCAAAAAAGAAAAGGAATCCTCCAGGCATTTCTGAGTTGGGGAACAATCAAAATTAAAATGTGAAGGACACCTGAGTGGCTCAGTTGGCTGAATGTCCGACTCTTGATTTCGGCTCAGGGCATGATCCCAGGGTCATGGGATCGAGCCCAGGGTCCTGGAATCAAGCCCCACATCACGCTCTGCACTGAACATGGAGCCTGCTAAAGATACTCTCTCCCCCTCCCTTTCCCACCCCACTCCCCACCCCCAGAAAAAGCTGAAATGCTACTTCTGAAAGATTCTTCTGGTAGTCTCATAGCCAAAGTCAAAGCAATCCCCCAATCAAATGACTTCCTATTTCTCACTGGCCCCCATCACACACAGAGCCTCAAATGTTTCCCAAAAACCTCCAGCTCAGCGTACTTACTGTCTGTGCCTTTTCTCTACTTTAAAAGCCTATCTGGTTCCAATGGAGGTTGTTTCAAGAGCCAGTTCAGAGCCCAATTCTGCAATTAAGTTTTCTTACAATTCAAGCCCTCCTTTTATCCCACTCTTTCCTCCACCTTCTAACTCTTAAAACTCTGTACCACCCAATTTAGCATTTAATTACATACTGTCTAGTATTATTCACTATTTTTGTGAATGTAAGTTGTCTCCTCAAGTAGATATTAAGTTCTTTGAAGACAATGATCGTGTCTTTTGACTCTCCTGCCCCACTTACCTCACATGGTAATAAGTATATAAGAGATTATCAGTACTTATCAACTACTCCGGTACCGGAACCTGAGGAATACTAAATTTGAGATGGAGAATAAAAGAATTAAAAGAATTAAAAATTCATGGAGAATGAATTGGGAGGTGACAGGTTTTGCACCTAAAGACCCGAATGAATACAAAGCAACATTACAAAAGGAGGGAAAACTGGATGTAGCAGCACAGTTGTAGGAGATGGGGGTGGAGATGAGGAGTTCCATCTGAGGGATGTTTATTTACTGTGAGTTGATGGAAAGACCTCCAGAGAGGAATATCCTGCAAGCAAGAGGAAAGAAAAGTACTATAACCCAGATGTGAGGTTGGTCGGCAATAGCTTTGTCATTTGAATTATTCCTACAAATCAAAATACCATGAGGAAGTATGGCCACATAGAGGTTCTGAGGCACTTTGCACATCAGCAGAGAAGATGTCTGGCCACCAATTACAGAAGTACAAAAAGGGCCTTGCCCTTTCCACGGGTGGTGGGTAGGGAGGAAGGCTACGTCCTCCAGGATTTTCAAGGGTTCACAGAACTTTTTTTTAAAAAAGTCTTCTGCGTAGAAAGTTTGGAAGCGAATGCCTGAAATGGTACTATACATATGAAAAATATTTCAGAGCCCCAGCCATGAATGGTGGCCTTAAACATAAGCAAGGGATACCTGCAGGGAATACTTGTAAATCCTGCTTGCTCCCATACATAATCAGAAACGGGGAAGCCTCTATCTAGTATGGAAGGCTGCCTTCTCTGAGCTTCCCAATGCTGGGCTGTTCTTGACACCACATCTCAGAGATGTTCTGGCCCTTGGATGTAATCTGCCACCACCTTGCTATGTCCAGCTCCTGGAACCCCGTGGATCTGATCCACTACCAACTTGACTTGTACAATCTGTCAAATTACATCAGATTAGTCAGGCTCCAGATCCTGGCGTTTACTGGCTTGTTCTGCCTCTACTATTCATTACCCAATGACTTGTCTGTTTTGAAAAAGCAGATGGACTTCTGGCTCTAGCAATGTGATAGGCCACCCCTGAAATGACTGATAATGAAGGAAATTCTGCTATATACAACTGAGCTGAAAAGGAAAAAAAGGAGGGGGAGGAGGTGGTGTTAATTACCCAGGGCCAGAAACAAGGAGGGAGTTAACTACTCTGAGGTATCCTAAGAAAGTTGTCAGTTTCCATAACCTAATAGCTCATGTTTCAATGTCCACGGGGAAAGAGGAGATATTGCCTTTAGCCTAGATGGCAGGGAGTTGGAACGGAGACCCTCACATGAAACCAGCACCCTTGAAGGGCTGCACCCTAAGTGTAACGGCTGGACTGAAAACCACCAAGCTGAGACATTAACATGATAAATGGCAGTGACGTAAGGGCACCTGGCTCACTTCAAGGGATATTCCTCTAACATATAACCCAAACGGTTCACACCGAAAAATGAAATAAAATATATGCCTCTAGCAAAGGAGTTCGAAACCTATAATGATACGGTCCAACATTAAAGAACTAACAAAAACAACACACAACAGGGCTAAAAATCCCAAGACCACAAAATGGAAATACAG